TCTATGACTACACCTATACATGTACATGTATTTAGCTTTCAATTTATCACCCCTTGCAACCTGCTTCATTGTGTTTGCCTCGTAGCAATATGCACTGTTTGCATGTTTAGTCACGGTGTGGTATTTTACGCACGTTCTGTTACGTGGCTGTGAAACAAACAATGCATGACTCAGCCTAAGCACCCACGAGGTGTACACAAAACCCTGGAAGGTACTGACGGATAAAACCAACTGTGGATATAATCGGCTAACTCTTATTCAAACAGTCTCTGCTGAAAGAAATATTGAATGTGCCTGCACAACCCGACCCATTAAAAAAATTATAAGTTTGTAACTTGGCTCTACTTTACGTAACTTGAAGAATACACCAACACCTTCCACTCAAATTAATTTAATACCACCCTCCCCGAAAAAAAATCACAAAAGGCCCCACTTCAAAATTAAATCGTTATTTCGGGATGGTAATCATCATTTGTAGTGGCCCTCATATTTTGGCTACCTGAAATGGGAAAGAGGTCTGGGGTACTGTTGGCATGCCAATCATTGCCAGGGTAGTATCTCCGAGGATATTTTGTAACATGGATGTGACAGCTGGGTGCTAAGACGCACAGTTCCAATTTTATCCGCACATTCACGCAGCATGTTTTTGTACGGGAGATAACCAGTCTTTTTAGTTCCCGTTCGGACAATGTCCGAAAACGGGGACTATTAATTTGGGTTCGTTCGTTCCGTCCGTCCGTCCATCCGACGTACGTCCGGAGCTATATCTCGGACACCCATTGACGGATATCATTTACATAATGTCTTGCATATGCGCGTCAAGTTACTTTGTGATCGGAGAAAAATGGCCGACTGGCGGCCATTTGGGATGTAAAATTTGCTATTTCTGATACCTAAACGTCGGTATGATGATCATACATATTGGGTTGTAGGTGCACGTCATTTTTTTTCGTGATTCGAACGAATATGGCCGACTGGCGGCCATCTTGTTTTTCATGGTACCCATGCTACTTTTTCTTGAATGCCATGAACGTTTCTGTTTAAATTTTGTGCAAAGATAGTCTTCCAAGGGATACATGCGCACCAACAAAAAGTGCTAAATCGTAATGTTTACATGTCCGGAGCTGTTTCTCAGAGATGACTAGGCCAATTTGGATCAAAGTTGGTATGGTGATCATACATATTGGGTTATAGTTGCATGTCATTTTTCTGTGATTCAAACTAATATGGCTGACTGGTAGCCATTTTGTTTTTCATGATACCCATGCCTACTTTCCCATGAATGCAATGAACATTTCTGTTTAAATTTTGTACAAAGACAGTATACCAATAGATACATCAACATGAACATTATTTTTGTAATTTGATTCAATATGTCCAATTCTCGTGTAAAAGCACTAAATCATAATTTTTTTTACAAATCAATCACCTATTAATGGTTTCGATCTAATCTCAATGACTTCATCAGCATCACATTTATATGTCAGATCACAAAATTTTGTACGGGGACTGTGTCATTAACAATTAAAAACAAATCATTGCACATATTTATTAATGTTCGAATTATTTAATAAAAATTTATGGGCTACTTCTTTGAATTTGAAAAGATTTGTTTTATTCAGGAATCTTATTTTCGTAATACAATATAATACATTACAACATAATGTTCTTACATTAACAAGAGCAAGGCAAATGCATACAACTTTTGTTTTCACGTGAAAAGTAACAACAGGGTTCAAACATTAAAATGTTCCTACTTATTTTTGTATTTTGTCAGAGTATTATTTTTCTTTGATGTAACATATTCCATTTGTTTTATTCTTATAATGCTATTACGTATATGTATATTGATTTATATTATATTGATATTCATACTATATTGATATATACTATATTGATCGATTCAGTCTTTCAACCTGAACTCTTGAATGGTTTGATTCACAATAATTGTCACGTGATTCATTAAGTGACTAAATTGCTCATCTCCCAGTAATTTTTTTCTATCAATTTGATTTGATAATTGAGTGCTTGTACCCCATATGTATTGATAAGTGTTCCAAATTTTAGTGTTTGTGTATATTCACAGTATACATTTAGGTGACGTATATTTTATGCTCGTTCTTACAAAAAGTGCAGATTACTTTGAGCCCTTGGAGAGTTCATTCGACTGAGAGTGTAATCTGCATACAAAATATTGTGACATAATTTCCATTGAAACTCGTACAGCTTTCTTTCAACTGTAACTAGAAAGGGCATCAGAAAAAACTCCACTCCTCTTCCGTAATTGTGAGAAATTGCTTGTACAATTTCTGTAACCACTGTAACCTCAATATAATGAACACGTTATAATGAACTTCCTGATATAATGAACACATAGCATGTCTCCCGCTCACAACAAACCTAATGTATTATGTGCTTCATTATAGTGAACATTTCACTATAACAAACTAATTGTATGTCCCCCAAAGAGTTCGTTATAGCGAGGCTGCAGTGTAGTAGAGTGGACTTTTAGGGGAATGAAGTATTTGGAAGCTATGAATTTACGAATCATTTCAGTGTCACAATTGTTCAGATAGTAAAATTCGTCATCTTTAATAATACCAAATAGTAGTTAAGGCCCTATAAAAATTGATGACGTTTTAAACTTATCTGGGAGAGCAGAGATAATTCCCTGCCACAAAATAGGCGATTTAATATAAAATCAATCGGATAAAGATCATCCCAGGTTTTAAACTTACCATTACTTTTAAACAAACGTGGTACATAAATAACTCCCATATATAGTTTTGTTGTTCCAAATACTGTTATCAGATACTATGGTGTGGTCAGGTTTTACCTTTGACCAACTACAAAGAATGCTACGATAAAAGGGTGGCAATGGCGAGAATAAAGTTTTGAGGGCATAATAGCATCGAACAATTAATTTGCCTCCAAAAGGTTTTAAATAGCAGTGATACAAGGATGTACATAATATATATCACAATATTTTTGAATTGTTTTAATCCTGAGTGAGTGGTATTATAATGCAAATACATCTATCCTATTTATACCCCTATCTTTATACCCATTCCAGACAAAGGCAAGTAGTAGGCCAGGGAGGTTGTTATCTTTCGTATATCTCATTATACTGTCAATTAAAAGTATGCAACAGTTATTGAGCGATTTTTGAGATACATTTGAAGCGATTTTAACATCAGTGTTGAAGAGAGTAACAGGGCGCCAATTCTTAATATACCTTTTGTCTTTGTGTTGTTTTTCGATAAGGGTTATTACCCCTTGCTTTTGACTGTCTGTAAGTTCCCCTTTTTTATTTGCAGTAATAATGCATTTAACTAATAATTCGCCCACCACTAACTAGATGGGCCGATACCATCATTACCTGACACCTTATTGTTGGGAAGACAGGAGAGTGCAGTATAAACCTCGTTCAAAGATAATTTGGCCTTCACATGGAACTCTGTCAGTTGTTTTGGAATTATTGGAGAAGAAATCTCTATAACCATTACCAGGATAATGTGAGCGACAACCGTGAAACAAATAAAAGGTCTTAATTTCCTGGCGAGGAAGTTATTCGAGGAATTAAATAATTGTGTAATTTGGCTCTTTATAGCATTACGTCGCTCAAGAACAAGAAGATATTTTCTTTTCTTTTCACCCATCCAGTCTCATACCATGATGCCCGTGAACGAAAATAGATTCTTCCGTGACGTAGTTATATTCGACCCAAGTTCTTTTTTAGTACATTCAATTTCCTCTTTAATAATTTCAGTGGAATTATTAGCTAAATTAATGTCTAGTTTGTGTAATTTATTTTCCAAATATTTTAGATTATTTTTCCTTTCACATGCCTTCTATTACAGTAACTGCAGGCAATTGTATTAACTTTTATTTTATATTTGATGAATTCCCAAATAAGTCGGTCTTCATTACAATCGCCGTATTAACGATGGCAAAATTAGTTTTGATGAGGTCCTTGTAATTCTCATCTAACAATAAAATATTATTTAATTTCCAGTAGGAGTTACCAATTGGAAGTGTGATGGCCGAATGATCAATTTGAACACTAGTGACGATATTCACACCAGTAACAACTGACTGTGTTGGGTTACTTTATATTATGAAGTAGTCAATACGGCTTTGAACGAGGCTCGATCTTAATCTCCTTCAGGTATATCGCTTAGTTAGGGGATTCCTAACCCTCAAAATACCCCAAGTGGTATTGTGCACAATATTCATTATATTTTACGGTAGCTTCTTTCTATTTTGAAGGTTTGTACCTCCCATCCTGCTCAAAGAGACACTTAATGCTAAATTTAAATCACCTTCCCAAATGATTTCCCAGGGTCCACCTGAATTACAACAATATTAAAAAAAATAGTATCAAGAAACGAAGTGTGATCTGTCTCATTGTTAGGCGCATACGTATCAATTAATAAATATGGAGAGATTTGTTGTTAATCACAAGGATCTATTAAATTCCAACAAAAATGTACATTATTTTCTTATTTATATTAAAAAAACTACCTATTACAATTTGCCAACTTGTATTGATTAACAACTCCATTCCACCAACTTGTCAAATCTTGCTGCCAAGCCATCACTTTTCTTTCCTATCACATTAAAAAGCCTCAAGAATTATTATTTATTCTATTTGATAACTAGGGTTCTAAACGCGATGAGCAGCATTGGCTAGTCCCATTAAATAGCTCGTAATCGGTTGTATCAAATTATCTTCACTGATACGTTTTATTAGACCCAACATGCCTTGCCAGATCATCTTGAATAGCTTGCTAATCTTCTGTTCCATAGATTACCTAGTCACATGGGGCATGGCATATACATTCTGTCAAACTATTGCCAACAGAGTATTACTCGAGAGTATTACATGTCCATCAATATGATCACAGCACTACTTCATTTATTAAGGTATACTCATGATAACCTCATAATTAGTGGAAGAGTCAGTAGCAAATTAGCACAGAAAAAACAATAGAATGATATAGATTATGCATCATATATTTATTTGTTCATTTGATATCACAAGTAGATGATACTCTGTATATTTGTGATCGAGATGAATGTGATTTACAATATATCACTGAGCAATTTAAGGCTTGGTGCACTTGTAGTCAACTTTGACTTGTATGTAAATGATAAAGCGCTGAATAGTTTTACAGCTGAACATTGATACGCCATCCCATATACTCAGACAATGGCAGTTGAATGTTTTGTAAATGCAGGATCAGATGCAGTCAATATTTCTGGGATGAATCAACACACTGTGATATGTTGAATTTGGAATGTGAATTTGTGTGAAAGCAGAGATAAACAAAGCTTTGTGACCTTTCTTACTGACTGAATTAATTGTAAGATACCAATCTTTTTTTCAATTATAGTCATTGTTCAGCTGTAATGTATTTTAGAGCATTAGAGAATAATATAATCATAAACTATATTTCCCCCCATATAACAATGTATTTATACAGAGTGCACAGGTTACAATACAATATTTGCTCCATTAGTAGTGTATGCGCTTCCGTAATTTACAGAGGTGTTTCCATATATAGCAAATATGGTAAGCAGATCATTACAGTTCTCATATCTGCCAAAGCAGACTGTGATATGCTTGATAGTCCGGAATAATTTTGGGCATTGTGAAACACCGATATTAGTCTTGTCATATTAGGATAGTCAAAAACAATTACTGTAAAAGGATTAATTATTCACTGGGTTTTAATTTTGCTTATTTCGCTGACTGGAAAATGAGCTAAATTAAAACCCAGTGAATATGTAAAATTAAGCATAGAACACATTATTTTAATGATAAAACCGTGAATTTAAAACCCACTGAATATTTAAAATTTAGCATAGAACACATTATTTTAATGATAAAACTGAATTTAAAACCAACTGAATATGCCTGAAATGGTAAATCAGCAAAATTTAAACCCAGTAAAAATTAGTCATTTTACAGTAGTTAAGATTCATCTTACTTTTTGTAAAAACTGTGCACTCTGTAAATGATGAAACATGTCATACATAGTTATATCAATAAATAAAATATTAACTAGTCTATAGGCAGTCCAGCTGCCTGCCTCCTTTAACACTTTCATGTGTACTCTTTGATGACAAATTAGTAGTTTTTGATTTGATATTAATTATGGCGACAAAGTGTCTTCAAGTAATCACTACATTTACAGTGACTGCAAATGTGTGTAAAGAAAACAAGAGGCGAGCGCTAGCATTGTCAAGATTGTACACCATGTGTGAAACAAGCCTGGTCTCCAGCCATTCCGAGTATGCTCAAGAATTTTGCCTGGTGAATCACTATGCAACTACATGCAAGTATAGTTGGCACAGTATTCTGTGTTATCACTTAATTGGCCGTCTCCACGACTTCAAGCACATGGAAATATGCTTGTGCAGACTTGAAGGCAAGGTCTAACAACAACACTTCAGTCCAAGTCCAACTATCAAAATGCAGGAGTGTTCAAGTCAATGTAGGCACACCATGAGAACAATAGACATGAAACATCAGATAGATAATGAGGGGTGTGTCAGTTAATGCAAAGCAGGATATTATCAAGAAGAGATAATTTAAAATTGATTGCACTAAACTAGATTTGATTAAATCTTATATTGCATATAGAAGAAACTTGCACATATTTGCAATCATGCCACATGACAGTACGATTATTAAAGTACACATGTAAGAATGTTGTAAGAGACTGTTGTCATTTGACAACAACTAAAACTACATTTTGATAATGATCACATACACATGGATGCCTATGGCTCCACTATCCCCATATGTGCAGGGGAAGTTTGGAGCATCAGAGCCAGTGATTTGTTAAGCCACCTCAACAGCCAAATTTTTCAGGAATTCCTTCTCCCTGGCAGACAACTGCTCGAATTTTTCTGGATCCTGGCAGAATTGACATTCTGCAGTGCAGACTTTATTCATCAACCCTAAACCATTTTCTTTCCATACATCAACCAGAGATTGAACAAATCCATCCATCATCTCAGTGGCATGGAATGGGGTCGGTGCAATTCTTAGTTTCTCTTCTCCCCGTGGTACAGTAGGATAGTTGATGGCTTGAACATATATACTATGCTTAGACATCATTTCATTGGCAACCTTGGTACACTGCGCAGGATTACCAACCTGGCAGAAAAAAATAATTATATTTACACTTGTGATCAATACAACTGGGTAAAATTTACATTATTCTCAGTAACTGTTCAAGAGAACAGCTTTAGCAGTATTATCAGGATGGACAACATTTTGGGTTTTGTCAGCAATCAAGAAGTAGGGAACCAAATGTTGAACTATCACATATTCTTGCCTGATTATACATGAACTTGCATTGTAGTTGAAAATTATAATATATGGCGTGTGACTACAAAGAGCCAATTTTTTCACCCTATGCTGCCTCTCAATAAAACCATAGTATTGGGAGATACTTACATGAATTGGTATGATATGACTTGGACAGTGGACCACAGGTAGACCAGCAGCCATTAATTTACTTCGCAGCTCACCAACTCTCGCCTGATGTCTACCTCGCAGTTCACGTCCCTCAGGTCCACTCACTACCTGTTATAATAAATATCCAAGATTATCTACAACGTACACTAATGAACAATGTATCCACAACCACAATAACACTCCTAGCTTATAACTCATAACCAAATATGTACTGGTAGTGTTCAAAACACACCCTACCTTGATTGAGGCCATGGCTCCAGCCATTACAGTGGGTGGTAGAGCAGTAGTAAAGATGAACCCAGAAGCATAACTTCGTACCATATCAACCAGTTTAGCAGTACTTGCTATGTAACCACCAATATTACCAAATGCCTTTCCTGTGCAAAAAACAAAAAATCAATTCACAATATTCAGGACATAGTAACAAAGGCTTCTTTAAAAACAAAACACCAAAATACTGATAAAGTCTAAGGTGAACTTACCCAGTGTACCAGATACAATGTCAATTTCGTGTAATAGCCCTTCTTTTTCACCAATACCAGCTCCGTGTTCACCATATAATCCAACAGCATGTACTTCATCCACAAAGGTAATGGCACCATACCGATGAGAAATTTCGCACAATTCTTTCAAAGGACAAACAGCTCCTGTAAATTGCAAATGAAATAACATTTATATATACAGTATTTTGCAATACTGGTACATTTCTGTATATGATATATTTGGTTGTTTGGCAATGAATCTCAGTTGAAATTACAAATACATTCATTTCATAACCAATCCAAACATTCCAAATTTCAGAATGGAGTAAAAATATCTGCTGTTATTTCATTATGGACACTTACCAGTCATAGAATGGACAGTTTCAAAAGCAACAATCTTCGGAGTTGACTTATCAGACTTTTTCAATAATTCTTCCAAGTGTTCAGGATCATTATGCCGGAAAATAAACTTGGGAGCTCCACTATTTTTAATTCCCTGAATCATGGAGGCATGATTCCCAGAATCCGAATAAATCTCGCATCCTATGGGAAAACAAATCATAAAACGTTAAAATCTGGAAATAACATAATATGCTGGATAAGATTATTGGTAATGTATTATTTCTCTTTTCAATGTAACATACTCTACCACAAGCACACTTTACCAAATAGAAGAAAGAAATTTGTTTATCTTCTGTATGGGTGTGTGTAATGAGTGGTGTGCACATTTGACATGCATATTCTGGTTGGTGAAATGATGTTACATGAAAGTATCTCAGGAAGAAACATTGATGGTATTTTTACCTGGCAGAGCTCTAGCAAGGGTGAATAAGGTGGAATCGTTCGCCACATAACAAGACGTAAAGACCAATCCAGCTTCTTTCTGGTGTAGATCAGCCAGTTGTTTTTCCAACTTTTCATGGTATGTTGTATTACCAGAAATATTGCGAGTCCCACCGGCACCAGCACCTCGCTTCTTCAAAGTGTCACTATAAATACAACCATAGTGAAAATATTCAAAATATACCCCTCAAGCAAATTACAGTTTATCGAGCTATTCATATCTGTATTTGCATGGTAGGTCATTTACATTTGGAAATAATGGTAAACCTAAAATAGTGCTGCAGAATTTTGTTTTGTTTGACCATTTTTGTCTTTATTTTCATTTCATTTTCAGTATGTGTGGATATTTAATTCCTACCAAATAACATAGCTATATTTAGAACTGAATAATCTAAAAATGCAACAATAGATTCATAAAACAAATGACTATAGGAATGTCTAACAATGCCAAATTTCTCATTAACTCACGGTCTTCAATATTGATGATCAAAAAAATAAGTTTAACAAAATAGGTATGTATAAAGAACATGCATCTTTAATAGTGCACCACACAGCTATATACATTTTGTACCATGCTATAAATTGTACTAAGGGTTCATGATCACTCTAAATCTGACTTCTCATTTATTACTTGAATGATTGGTGAGATTTAGAAATAGATAATGGACAGTGAGGTCATGCTCTATTAAATTCGTTTAGAGAGAGAAAGAGATGCCAATCTGTCACAGGGTGTAACACATGTTTAGTAGACTAAACAAATCTACAACAAATCTAGTGCGTCAAAACACTAAAATACAAAGGTAAAGGACAAACAGGATAGAAACAAATAAAATTTGTAACTCTGAATAATGAAGGAATGTCAGAAATTTTTTTTTGCCAAAGTCTCCCTTTTCAAAATATTATATTCAAATATTATATTTTCAAAATCCCTTTGTAAGTGGGAAATAGCTCAAAGACCACTAATGCCTTATGTACGAATCAGTTTTAGCTGCTTACTGACCGAGAGTACAGATTAGTGAAGCATACTGCAATTACTTAGTGAATTATATTGAAATGAGCAACTTCCAGATTAGGAATGATGTTAATAATGTTCCCTCATCATAATTTCTTGTCATTGCTCTATTCAACTCAATTTAATCCTGACAAGCCTAATAAGCATGTGAAGGTCTGAATAGCTCGTCAAATTCTAATTTTCTGAGATGTGAATTGACTATAGTGCCTAGCTACAGCCATTGCTAATACGTTATCACCTCATCTTACTTTAAATGATCAAGAAAAAATAAGAGGAATGCAAGAGCTGCACATTATTCAATTAGCCAAATTATCTCAAAAGACACTTTAAATAGATTTATTTTAATGAGACTAGATGAATAATAGCTTTCAGGACAGAAATGGTAATCTGTTTGTCACATTGGATAACATCAGACAAGCTGATGGGCATAACAAAAATGTAGTGCGTACTGACTGAATGACATTAAGTAATAAATTTCATATATAAAACAGCAAGAACACAAAAAAACAAGCAGCCCGATTGTAATGCACTCTATATGAATGGGTTTACGCTCACTGGTATTTGAGGGAAATCAATCAATGCATGCATTAAACTATAATTATTAAATGTATATTTGACAAAAATAATCATAATAACCAACTTGGTACAAAGCACATTAAAATTACCAGGTAGATAAAGAAATGCCAGATTAATTTGATTTGAATAGTGGCTAACAGCATGAAACTCACATAATGGCATCAGTAACAGCAGGGTGACGACTCATACCAAGGTAATCATTGCTGCACCACACAGTGATGGGCTGACCAGGATCCCCTTCCTTTTTAGCATTTGAAAACTCTTTAGCAAAGGGAAATTTAGTCGCATCTCTCTCCAATTTCTTGAAAACCCGATAGGAATGGTCTGCCTTCTTTGCATCAATCTCCCCTTCGAAGAAGGTTTCATAATCAAATGAGCCATCATCTGCATGAGAGTGAAGATAGTTCCATGAACCATTTTACAGATTATGAAAAATTCAGAAAATTGAATAAAATACATGTATAATTTTTTTTTTATAGAAACATAGCTATTTCATACCTTTTAAAGGCTTGGGTTTTGCTTTAGCTTTCACCTTGGGTTTTGCAATGTCTTCCTTCTTAGCAAGGCGGTCAGACATAGGTTTGCTTGGTACAAAAGCCTCTTTAATAGAGTTGAACATCTTCTGGGTCAGAGACCCATCATTTATAGCTTGACCTAGAAAGTACATAAAGCCTCAGAGACATACAACAAAAGACTAAAGAACATGTGTGCACAGGGGTCATTACAACTGATGTCTACTGCAGTTTGAAGCATTTTGAAAGAGAAATTGACATGACCCACTGGCAAACCATTATAATAGTAAACTGATATATTTATAATAGGATCTGATTTTTTATTTGAAATGCGCACAATACTTTTTTTCATTAAAGAAAAACAGTGAGGAGGAATACTGATTGATTCTGCAATATTAATAGTGGATAGCAAACCGCAACATTCTCAGAAACATACCTTCTGTAGCAACGTTCTTAGTGATGTCAATTGATGGAGAAGGCTTGGTATCCATAGCAACAGATGCTTTCATCATAGGGTGCTGTTTATGAATAGCTCTCATTTGTTCAGCAGCTTTGCCAATCATTTCAGAGCCTAAAAGAAGAGGAATTAGCAACATGAAGTGATGGACTAAATTTTTTTTCCCCTGGGAGAACAATTCTGGTTGAAGTTCACGATATAATTAATATCAAGGGATTCACATTCCTTTTTAATGATGTTTAATAAATTCAGATTTATCAGTAACTTTTACCAACATGCTTTGCTGAGAATATGCAATATAATGAGTAATATTCATCAAGAGTGCATTGTACAGCCATTGTACAAACTCAAATTATTTGTTTTTTCACAGGCTCCAGATCTGAGATGAAAAATACAAATCATAAATCTTCACCTCGTTACACAATGTGGTTGGCTATTTCAGTTTTATGTTTATCATGATTACCTTTTGGCATAGATTCTTCTTTCTTTACACCAGCATGAATGACATCATCATCATCAAGGTCACTGCATTTCTTTACATAATCTACATTATCCAGGAATGGACATTTTCCATACACTGGGCATTTACCACCTTCAGCTAACAAGAAAAATATTTTTTTTTTTAAATTCTTACAACCATTCACTACTTTCATATAAATTTTTAGTAAATTATCACATACTAAAAATCAAAGGCAATTATTTTTATATTATTTGGAGGGGGGCAAATTCACCAGATTCAACAAAAGGTGATTCTCTAGGTGTACATCTTCAAGTCGTGTATTTAATAAGACCTATTTTTGATGCTATGCAATTATTACAGAATCAATAGGTTTTATAGATAAGCTATTTATCATTGAAATGAATCTTTCACAAACAGTAGGATATTGAGATTTAATGAGCAGCTTCTTTTTACAACTATCGGTAATATTTCCTACAAAACTTAACGACCATGGTATGAACAAAAAAATTGATGATATAATACATCAGCACAAAATGGTCAATATTACTAGATTTTAACAAAAATGTCAGTTTATACATTTTGCATAGCTTGCAATTATACAAATGTAGTACATTTAATGAGAGCATTGATGTATGTGTTGTCAGGCTGGCAATTCCAATCACTCAGTAACATGTGGAGTTACGACTTAAGAAAAATTTATAGCTGTCATACTATGAATTCAGGTTTTTGAAAAACTACTATGTCGGGTAAATGTATTGAGATCATATAGGCTTAGCATGGCTTATTGATTTGTACGTTTTAGAGAATGGTACATACACAATAAAAAACGATTGGAAGAGTACAGCTGTAGTGAGTGATGAAAAATAATTGGATATTCATTTTTTTTTTAATTTATAAGGTGAGACTGTTGGAATTCACAATGGCCTGAAATAATTTTTTTTGTCTCTGCCAGAATTTATTTTAAAATACATGTACCTAAATCCTTACATTTTTAGTGTGTGCTGGTAGGTTGAATGCAATACAATAGTACATACATGTAACAATTTATCCCAAAATATACTGTGCTATTTCAATTGTATACTTTTCATTTTTATAATTAAAATAAAATATTATTTTATATTGTATAGGTAAATAATTTTGTTCTGATCCCTAAAATTGTTAAGAAAACATACCTTGGGCTCTTCCTTTTTCAGAATCTACTTGCATGGTAGATGCATGGCGATTCACCATGTGGGACATCACAGGGCAATTCTCTGCATAATTGAAGAGTGTTACCCCAGCCTTCTTAATACACTGTGTTGGTACTTTGGCCAAGAATGGACATTTCAAACGAGTTAGCTGTGCCATCTTCCTATGTCAACCTGACTGCCAGGGACTGAAAGACAGAATCGAATGATCAGTTAAATATTCAATTCAACTTAAAAAAGTCCCATTGTCTTGCTCTCTTATATTAACTGAACTGGCCAGAACCCAAATTCAATTCAGTGTTGGCTACTTGACAGCATTGTCCCTTATCCTGCTGGCCACATGTACTTTTACAGTGACATTTATTTGAATATAGGCAACAAGTAAAATACCTGCCAATGGTATGAAACACTAGTTGAGTTGATGGTGCATCATGAATTGTTGTTACATTTACATTACATAATTTCTGTATAATCAATCACTAAAGCCACCTGATCTAGTTGTACATCAGGTTCTATTATAATGCCCCCAAACCACCCAGCTATTGATGTCAGGCTTCAAAGGACAAGTTGACCTTTCACCCACAGTAGCATGATTCAGCAAAAGAACCTTTTGCTAAGCACATATTGGAACATTGAGAAAAAAATAAACATTAAAAGATGTCACTTAATATTTTAGAAGTGATAACATTCAAAATGACATTAATTAACTACATCATGATTTACGTGTTTAACATATGTATCCTATTTAAAATTTATTTAGCTAGTATTTCATCAGATTGAAGATGCATAATATCTACTCATACAATCTTTTCTGGTCAACAGTGAGCATTACAAGTGGGCACAGAATGCAACAATGCAAGTCATATCCACAATCTCCCTGATGTGAGTGGACATGCTACCCATTAGGTCATCTATCAATATTATGGTACCGGTAGTCTTGGTTACAGTCTCTACTAGACACTATTGTGATTCTGCCTTGGATGTCAAAATTCCAGTTTTCAATATAACATGTACATGTCAAAGGAATTGGTCACTTGGGTTATAACGATTTAATTAAACGTTAGATTTACAATGTTATAGGATTTTAAATCTTTCATGTTAGCAGTGGGAGTACTGTAGTCTAGTTCACGTTAATCAGGACCCACATTGAGACCTACTTGGGACCCCTCAGCTTCTCCGAAATCACATCATTATACACCTGTTTTTTGTTGTCTGTCAAATTTTACGTGAAACAAAATTTTATTATCTTATTTCTTTCTGGCTGCACTTCCATCCATTGCTATGTCATATGAATACATGTTCTCTTAGGTTCAAGGGTACGATTTTGGTTTGTGCCAAGCATCAGGCAGCCAATCTTAGCATGTACAGGGTTTTGATTCAGACTCCCTATTTGGACAGAGATCACAATCATTCACACACATTTTGACACTTTTCAGAAAAAAGTAAATTTTGTTTCACCAAACGTTTTTTTTATCATTGTCTTGTCTGCAGCAATTGTGTCGAGAACATTCCAGAGATAAGGCTTTTTGTCTAGGGGTAAAAAAATAAAATTAAGATATGATACAAGATCTGTGCATTTTCCATAAGTGTGATCTCTGAAAGAACCACCAAACATTACACAAGGTTTTGTCCCAAATTGAGGAGTATTTGATGAGAGAAAATTCAACTGACAAATTCACTGGTGGTACACAACAGAGACAAAATTCCTCAATTACCAGGACGGAACAGCAACAACATACATGAGAGACAGAGACTGGAAATAAACACAATAATATGAAAACCATACATTTTATTCTACTATATTATACTACAAGTTGACCTTTCCCCACATGATTGAATGATTATGCACAAGATGGTTTTGATTAATTTGGGGTAAC